TGGAGAAGTGAAGTGTATTCGTTTGCACGCAGGTACCAGACACCTAGCCAGCCCGTAAGACAATGGCCTGACACAGTTTTATGGCTGGACTGATGCCAAGATTAGACCCAGCTTATACAGGACAAATGACAGCCCCTGCACGCACAATACTGCATATAATAATGTATAACAGCACTAAACACATTACACAACAATGAATTCCTTCAGTCTGAAGCTTTGTTTCAGCACACAACTACAAGACTGATACAGGGAGTGATTCAACAGTAGCAGAGAGAGAGGGAGAGAGATAGAGAGAGAGAGAGAGAGAGAGAGAGAGAGAGAGAGAAAACGAACTGACACGAAACAAATAGTGAGAAGAATGGAACCAGCGTACCAAAGAGTGTGTTCTGTAGTTTGTGAACTTTTTGAACCATCAAATAAATTAGAGTATTTTATAAGAAAACTATTACAAAAATAAAGAAAAAAGAATAGTCCTAAAATAGATAATGGGCTGTGACAAATATAAGTAGGTTATTAAAAGCTCGGCTCAGGAATTTGTCAAAACATTTTAGAACTTTATAATTGTAGATAGATTAACAGAATAATTACATAACAATAAATGCCAACCAGCAACAGAATGAATGTAATAATAATTACAACAGAGTCATTTTTCCAATGTGCCTCATCAAGATGTGCTCTGGGTGTGTTCTGAATTTATTCTGAATACATTACTGTTTAGAATGCATTCCGTTATTCGGCCGCCACTAAGCATTCTGCTCAACCCTCAAACATCACGGTTTCAATGCGATGGACACAGTTTTAAAATCTGTATATAAAAAAATCCTTGTCCACCAGATACACAAAGCACTTGTCATGAAGCGTGTCATGAAGGTTCGAGTAATGAACCTTTTTACAAAACAGTAAAGAGGGAAGCTTCAGTGCTTCACAAAGCTTCAGTTTGCCATCACTAATATTTTGATGTTCTAAAATTATTTTTATTAACTTGATATTTCACCAGGACAGGGTGCACATCATAAGATTGTCTCCATACTGAGCCGAGTCAATGTGAGAAATATTGAACGGAAATGAATGTATACACTGACTGAACAAGAAAGTGTCTTCAATCCATGGAAGATAAAGCCGTATGAAGATTGTGATGTCACAGATGTCAAAGGTCACCTTCTTAAAGAGGCATTTATTCCAAAATGACATGATGGTCAGTGATTCTTGGACATGCTTAAAATAGTTGATTAATTTCAGGAGAATGTCAAAATGAAAAATAAAAACGTCTAAATTATTAACAAACTCATTTCATTATTTAGCCCCTTAACAGAGTGACTGAACTTAACTATGCAGCACCGCAGACGTAAAAAATCCCCATATCCACAACAAAGAAAATGGTGTAAAATGTATTTTAAAGGGACGATAATCCTATATATTCATACATGGATATCAATATTTGTATGAAACAAATGACTTTGCTAGGGACACCAAAGGCAATTGAGAATGCAGGGGTCTGAGTGAGTTTGCTGCCATTTTTGGACTACAGAAAAAAGCAGACTTGCAAACTAGACACAATGAAAACAAACCATGTAGATTTAATGAAAAAAAACAGTTGCTTTATTGTTTCTGTTTTAGTGTTTATTAAAAAAAAACAAGAAAACAAATTGTGAAACATAATATACACCACACGTTCAGGAATATATATATAAAAAAAAACCTCAGAACAGACAAACGAAGGCTAATTTAAAATGTGTGTAAAAATAAATAGACAAATACATAAATCTCCATTTGGACACACAAAAAAGTGATCTACAGCACATACAGTGAGCTGCTTAGCCAATCAGTGTTCTAAAGTCCTGTACCATCTTCTAGGATGTGTTCCTCTGTCCTGCTAGTTCCTGATTGTGATGTTCCTAAATGCCTCCTCCATGAAGCAGAGTGGACTGTGCACACAGACCTTCAGAAATCAAAAATGAACTCCTTAATGTGGATTTTGAAATGGTGAATATGGTGGGAGGTGTAAACCAGAGCTTTAGTTGGTCCTAGAATGAAGCTTGAACGACAACAGGGTCACATATACATCATACAGACCAGTTCCTCTACGATTCCTCTCTTTCCCTTTGCCTACATTCTTCTTTCTCTCCTCTTTCAGTTTCTCTTCACCATACAGCAATAGCAGCGCCGTATCTATAGCTGCTGTTTTTATTTATGCGGGTTTGAAGCTCATTGGCTGAATACTGGCTTGTGTAGGCAGTTCACACAAAACTTCACTGTGTTGCTTTACTGTATGAAGTATGCACGCAGACATTCATCATATATTATTAGACGCATTGACCTTCTTTATTCCTCATTCTGTCACTGATAGAAGAGTGTAGAAAAAAAGGTTTGTCCCATTGAAGTCTGAGCCCTGTAACTAATTTCCAAAGTATTCATTTTCCACCTTCTTTAAAAAAGAATTCATGAGAGATTAATATACCATTTGTGATTAGAGATGGACGACAGTGTTCAGTTTGTTTTATCTTTATTAACCTGCAGAAAGTTGGTGTCCCATCTAGTTAATGATGAGCTCAAGGATCTTACAGGGACCATAGTTGTTTGGGGAGAAGGCCACATAGACGAGTATCATCTGCATAGCTGAGGTAAGATATCCCACAGTCTTGTAGTATTTGACAAGGAGGAAACACAAATTATAAAGCATCAGATAAATGTAAATCTATTAATTCACTGCCTATATCAGCTTCTTTATTTCAATTTTGACAGGTCTTGTATAGACAGCTGTTGGAAATCGAGGCACATTACAAATGTAGTGCCATGTCTTTTTACGTTTTTATGTTTCACCATCATAACAATACAAAAAAGGTGAAAATCAGTTGAGTAATATGGAAGTCATGGCTAATATGACCATTAAAGTCATCTCCCAACACACGTCTGTGCACAAGCAGATCCTGACTGCTCCTACATGACGGATGTGCATACATATCACTACAACTGAGAATAGACAAACTGGCATCTGTGGATGTATATCTGCGAGTTTGACCATCTAGTGCTTCTTCTGTAACCATGTTCAGATTAACGTTTTGCACACAGAGTCCTCTGGTGAACATGGAAAATCAATGCACCACTCTTAAATACTGAGACAATAAGTATAAAATCTTGTTTGTCTTGATTGTGGAGACCACATGTCCCATCTGTCAGTGTTCATCTGACCACCCATGTGGAATAATCCTGTGCTCTGAAGACCAGGGGGAGTTGGGGCAGGGGTTCAGTTCTGCGGGGGGCTTCTCTGTGTGAGCTGTAGCTGAGCCTCTCTGTGAGAGATGATCTGAGGATTATTTATCAGTGGGAGTTCAGCCTTTGATCCTCCTCTAAAACGCCACCGTCTGCTGCATTATTACCATCTTTCCTCAGACTGAATAGTTTTATCCTAAGTCTCTGAATCACTTGGAGGATCTCAGTTTACTCATACAACAAAATAATTAATGATTGTACCAATCATGGATAATGTGTAAATTAATAAAGGGTCAAATAATAAGTGCTGTGTGAAATAATAATGGGTAAAGGATAATATGTTTTTCCTTTATCACTACAACACAGAAGTATCCTTTTGCAAATGTGTTATGTTCTCATTGTCATTTTTCATATATGTAGCGCCCCAGCTAGGTACCCAGTAGATAGGTGGTTACTTAAATGATCAAATAAAGCTGGGGGCCCTGGGTTACTCAGTAACTTCTAGATTTGGTTAAGGATAGGTGACTGGTAAATGTATCTGACCGCACTTTAAATTAACACTATACACTCAATGCGAACCCTATCACCATTATAGTACCAACAAACAACATCTGAGTATGCACAAGATAGAAAACATCCAACACTGTAGATTTTACTTTAAAATATTTGTATTGGCAAGGCCTGAACAAATAAAACAAAACAACAAAAAATGGGCCCACACACACTCTCTCACGCACAGCTCGCTCTAAGTAGAGTCTCTACTAGTTAAATGAACTAGTTCTCTACCCCTCTCGTTGCAGGCCTGATACGTGGCTCGGGTGCGTAGTGGCCGAGAAAAAAAATAATGCAACTGGCCTCTTCACTCCGAAGAGCAATACACAAAACAGAAGTTACCTCTGCGGGCTCTGTCTCTCTACCGCATCTCTCTCTCTCTCTCTTGCTCCCTCTTTCTGCAGCGGTGGAACGGAGCATCCGTAGTTTAGCAGCCAGACACACAGGGCAGTGATCTCCAACGTAGCCAGTGGAAACTGGGGCTTTGCCGGTCACCCCAGTCGCTAACTGGAAAGTCTGTAGGCTGATAGACTCGAGATGGCAACGACAATACACACACCACAGGGGAATTACGTTTACTGAGCTAGTTAACGTAAAAACACACGGAGTATAGAGCTAGGGTGCACTTTAGCAGCCTGAGTTAGCCTGCTGCAGCTTGACTTATGAACAATACAATGGGCGATACTTTGAGCAGCAGAGTTAGCTTATCGAGCTAAGCTCTTACTCTAAACATTCGACGAACTGCGTGCAAACTCCTACACGGGCTCTCTATTCGCCAACCCGGCGCTGGACTGTACTCACAGGACGTTCAGACAGTCGTTCATTCGAACAAAATAAACTTTAGGTCGCACATATAAGCTATGAGCGCCATTTAGTTCACTCCGTCTCCCTGCTCTCTTTTTTCCTCTCGTTTTCGTGTGTCTCTCCCTCGTTTTTTCTTTTTTCGTTCCCCCTACTGCTATTGTCCCGCCCACTGACCCTGCGGCTTGGCTGACAATACCCCATTAGATGTTATAGGCTCAGAAAAGGAAGAAGTAAGAGTTAGTTCAGAAACATACTTAATCAAATAACCAAACTTTTAGATACACGTGAATATATACATTTGAACTGATAATTCAATCAAAAAATAAAATAAACTGAACCGAAAGTTTCAACTGGGCTACACCCTCCCCCCTTTAAATGGTCTGGATGTCCCCATAAGACCTTGGACACTAGTAGCCTGAATATTTCCCATGAACTTATCCCAACCTAATCACTATTCCACGATGTACAATAGTCATGAGCTGATCACTGGATTTCCCAGGCTGTTCGTAAGTGAGCCGTATCACTGGTTTCACTTTCCTTTTTGCATGGTCCTTGACACTGGGATCACTGGTACTATTCAGGGTCTCTTTAGCAACCAGTGTCTTATCTTGTCCCACATCTTCTTGAGCACCATACTCTTGCAGCAATTCAACAGGGTCTTCCCCATCATCTTGCATCTCTACTACAATTTCACTTTCAACAGAGTCATTCTCCTCTGTTTCCTCTTGATGGATCTCTCCACTCTCAGGACTCTCAATCCAACTGGACTCTCTTTCTCTAGGTTCGTCGACTTGAAGAGTTCTCTCACTTGTCTCATCTCTCAACAACGTATACTGTATGTCCATATCCTCATCTGAATCATTTGTTTGGGATTCTGCATAGCGCTGGCCCTCCTCGACAGCGTCTTCCCTATGCATCTGCATGCCTGGTCTTGCTCGCTTACGGCGAGTCTGGGGTCTTTGAGACACAGGCACTGTACTAGTAGAAGATGGCATACGCACCCATTCTCCAATTGCCAAGAGGTGGTCTCTATGAAGAGTCCTTACACTACCCAGACCACTCTCTGGCTTCACTCTGTATACAGGTAAATCAGAGATTCTCCCCATTACTACATAGGGCAGTGGATTCCACCGACTTTGCAGCTTGTGTTTGCCGGGCAATCCAAGATTTTTAACTAGTACCCTGTCACCTTCTTTCAAGACTTGATGACGTACAAGCTTGTCATAAGCCGCTTTGTTTCGCTTGTGTCTGTGGTCAGCCGCCTGCAAAGCTAACTGATAAGCCTTTTGCAGATCACGTCTCAGCCTGTTAACATACTGCGTGTATGTTGCCTCACTCTCACCGTCAGGGGAAGTTCCAAAACACACATCAACCGGTAACCGAGCTTCCCTTCCAAACATCAGAAAATAGGGGCTGTAGCCCGTGACGTCACTTTTGGTGCAATTATATGCATGCACAAGTTGGCATACATATCGGCTCCAATTTTGTTTCTTTGCTGCCGGGAGCGTTCCAAGCATAGATAACAAAGTTCGGTTAAACCGTTCTGGCTGTGGGTCTCCTTGAGGATGATAAGGAGTCGTCCTAGACTTCCTTATTCCCATCATCTGCAACAGTTCCCGTATGACCCGACTTTCAAAGTCACGTCCTTGATCGGAGTGAAGACGTGCGGGTAAGCCATAGTTGACAAAATATTTCTCAATTAAAACCTTGGCAACCGTAAGTGCCTTCTGATCTCGGGTGGGATACGCCTGGGCGTATCTACTAAAATGATCAGTGACCACCAAAATATTGGCAGTCCCTGAGCTATCTGGCTCTAGCGACAGAAAGTCTAGACACACCAGCTCCATAGGCCCGCTACTGACAATCTGATTTAAAGGGGCAACTCGTGGACTTGGACTTTTCCGGGCAATGCACTCCCCACAGCTTTTAATGTACTGCTCGATATCATAAGCCATTTTTGGCCAATAGAACCGCTTCCTTAGCAGTTCCACCGCTCTTTCCGTCCCCAAGTGTCCTAAATCATCATGCAACGATTTCATTACAGTAAGTCTGTACACTTCAGGCAGCACTAACTGAGCTGAGTGTGTCTCTGACCCTCTCTCGATGACTCGGTGGAGAAGTCCGTCCTTAACTACCAATTTTCCACTCTCTCGTCTCCTCAATGACATAGCAGGATCTTTCTTACTCCACTCAGTTGGCCAGTGACCTGTCCTCAGGGATTCTTTCACCTTATGAATCACTGGATCCTCAGACTGCGCTCTTTTTAAGTCTTCCTTGGTGAGTTGTTTCATCTGACCTACTTCAAGGTGTGTAGGGAAGACATAGGCATCTGGGAGTCCTTCTGCCCAGACTCCTAACTGATCAGCAAATCGCACTGGTGTTCGAGATGTCTTTCCCACACACACTCCCTGTGAAAGTGCTCTCACCTCTGAACGGGGTATTACCTTCCATTCTTCAGTTGTGACACCCTCCTTGTTCCGCGATAACAAATCGGCATCCACGTTCGTCTTTCCCGGACGATACTGAACGTCAAAGTCATACTGTGCTAGGCTAGCCAGCCATCTATGTCCCGTCGCATTAAGCTTTGCCGTGGTCAATACATATGTAAGGGGATTGTTGTCAGTCCTAACAACAAACTTTGCCCCGTACAAGTAGTCGTGAAACTTATCGACCACAGCCCACTTAAGAGCCAAGAATTCTAACTGGTGAATGTGATAGTTTCGTTCGGATGTACTTAGGCCACGGCTGGCAAATGCAACGGGTTTCAGACCCTCAGGATGCTCTTGATAGAGTACTGCCCCGAGCCCTCTGAGACTCGCATCCACATGCAGGACATAAGGCTTTTGGGGGTCAGCAAAAGCTAAGAGAGGAGCATGTGTGAGACAGTGGATAATCTGTTGGAAAGCTATTGTGCACTCATCAGTCCACCTCTCTCCGAAAGGGTCAGATTCCTTGTAGTATGACTGAGTTCTTTCCTGAGGAGCCTTTCTTGTTTTCTGGCGTGGAGCATATCCTTTGGTCAAGTCTGTTAGAGGTTTGACAATCGATGAATACTCTGCTATAAAGCGCCTATAATAGCCACAAAAACCGAGGAAGGACCTTAGAGACTTCAGATTGGTGGGTTGTGGCCAGTTTGTGACTGCCTCCACTTTCGCTGGATCGGTAGCTATACCACTGGCTGAAACAATATGGCCAATGTATTTCACTTTAGACTGGCAAAACTGGCACTTGTCCAGCGATATTTTAAGTCCCACCTCTTCTAACCTGTCCAGAACTTTCAAGAGTCGTTCCTCGTGCTCCTCCAGAGTCTTTCCAAAGACTATCAGATCATCCAGGTACACAAGCACCTCAAGCAGGTTCATGTCACCCACAGCCTTTTCCATTAGGCGTTGAAATGTAGCTGGGGCTCCCATGATCCCTTGCGGCATCCGTTCAAACTGATAAAACCCTAGCGGACATATGAAGGCTGTTTTTTCTTTATCTCCCTCAGCCATGGCAATTTGATAATAGCCACTGCGAAGGTCAAGAACAGAGAACCACTTGCTTCCCGCCAGGCAGTCTAGGGCATCGTCAATTTTTGGGGTGGTGTACTGATCGGGTATTGTTCTGTTATTCAGAGTGCGATAATCAATGCACATTCTCACACTGCCATTTTTCTTTCGAGCAATCACAATTGGCGAAGCGTACGGACTGCGTGATTCCTTAATTATTCCAGCAGCTAGTAACTCCTGAAGATGATGCCTCACATCTTCAATGTCAGCTGGTGCCAACCGCCTGGACCTCTCGCGAAATGGTCTTGAGTCTTTCAGCCTAATGTGATGCTTCACTCCTTGGGCTAAGCCCACGTCCCAGGCATCCAAAGAGAAAACTTGTGCTCTTTTGGACAACTTTTCTCTGAGTCGTTCCTTCCATTCCTCAGGAACAGAGGAATCTCCAAATTGAATAAGCCTTGGGTCCATGTTTCTTGGGACATCTGGATTGGGTGGAACCATCACTGAATCAGTAACATAGAGCTGTCCCAGTACAGTTCCCACAGGGATACCCACTTCCTTCATAGACTCATTCTGCATGACTACTGAAAACCTGGAAACATCCACAGCAGAGGCAGGTATGGCTACAGGCTGTATCAAAACCCCATATGGTAACGGCTCAGTGGGTGGTTCCAAAACTAGTACATCATTACGCAAAGGCCGATTGAATGTCACCTCGCCTGATACACAGCGACTACAAGCAGGTGGAATAAGCAGAGATCCAGGGCCCATCCACTTCACCTGCCCAACAGCCTCCTCAAGCGCTTTTATTTCTGTGCAATGGGGCTGTTCTCCTACCCCACGGGAGATGTCAGTGCCACCCTTGTCCCTGCATAATTCTGTTAATCTCTTGAAAAAATTAGCATTCGTGCCTATTATAATGGGTGTTTGGTCAGGACTTTTTGGGCCTGGGCAGACTAAGGCCAAAACTGTCACAGTTCCTTGGATTTTCATGAGCTCTTTGGGGAACTGCACATCTACTACAACGTACCCCAAGTATGGGTAGCTGGATTCACTTAGGCCCCATACTGATAAACCAGACACAGGCTGAATAGGCACATTTGACAAATACGAACGATACCAATCCTCAAAAATTATGGTCACTTGGGACCCACTGTCCATTAATGCACTGCAGGGTTTACCGTCTACTTTCACTTTTACCACAGAGGAAGGACCAATCAAGCCTTTAGGAAAGTCACCCGGCTGCCTCACTGCCACAGCACTCTTCCTAACAGAGCATGAAAAGCCAGCAGACCTACTGTCCTTTGTCTTCATTTCTTGAGCTTTTCGAAGTGAACGAATCAATTTTCTGATCACCTTCTGTGTATTTTCAGGAGCTTGACACTTGGTGGCGATGTGCCCATTTTCTCCACATTTGTAACAGAAGTAATCATCAGCATCTTTAACGGTATGAGGCTTAGTGTTTGACGTGACAAGTTCAGCTGAGGCAACTTTCAGTGAGGATGCTGAGATTTCAGCACTCTTATTCCCCATCCCTTCCACCTTGTGTTGTAATCTCTTGACTTGTTTTCTCAATGCTGTGACTTCAGGGGTAAGACTAGAACTCACGGATACACCGGGTACAGTTGGGCTTGGCTCAGCCTCCTCAGTCGAACAGGAGGTGGCACTTTTTGCTAGTTCTGTAAACTGGGTCTTCAACTCCTTCAGCTCCGTCCTCAGACGTTGGACCTCAGAATCTTTGGCCTCTGTTTTTCCTGCAGCCTGCACCTGCCTTACAGTAGCATTTACTTTCTGCCGAGAGGCTTGATACTCCTCTTCAATGCGTATCTCACTAAGTAAGTCTAAAAAACTGGGTGGGTTACTTTTCCTCTCACGCAGTCTCAACTGTACCAACATAAGATCTGAAGTCACTGCTCCCCTCAAAAGCTGTTCAATACGCACTCTGTCTCTATCTTTATCTAAAATGCCTCCCTTCTTTACTACTTTGGACAGAGTTTGCTCCAGTCTCCTTAAAAAGTCGGATAACTTTTCACCTGGACGTTGGTGCAAAAGTCTGAAAGCGAAATATAGGTCTTCACCAGACTCCGGGGTTCCAAAAGCACTATTCAGAGCGTTAAGATAAGCTTCTGGGCTAGCATCAGGATCACTGCACCTCACAGCCTTTACTATCTCAAGCGCAGGTCCCTTTAAGCTCTCCACTATCCTCCGCCGCTTCTCTCTTTCGGAACATTCACTTTCCTCTATCATCATATAGGCTTGTTCTAGCCAAGGGTCTAACATCTCCTCGCCCATAGGGGTTGGAAGGGTACCAGAAAATGTTCTGAGTCTGCGGTAGCTGTGTCCTTCCAGTTGAACACCTCTAGACTGACTCAGTAGTTCACTCATGGTACGTAAGAGAGGCTCAGATGTATGTGATTGTGAACTAGCAGGCGTATACAAACACTGGAGGTCTTCCATGGTTTTGCCTTCCTCTTGGAGTAGCTGATTTAGCTTGTGTGCAAAATCATCAGCAGCCTTAGCCTTTCTTTTAGCTACGACCACTGTCCAGGGCTCAGATCCATCGGGTGGAATCACTTTTGGGGGTACTCGGTCTGCATCAATTTCCTCTCTGCATTCACACAGAACCAGCAAACTTTGCGTCTCCTTATGAAATGACCGGCCCCGTATGCGCACTCTGCCCCAGCAACGCACTGAGTGCAACACATCTTCGATTTGTCCAACTGCAAGGTCTTCTGGGACCCCTATTAGGAGGACAGCATGCTGCGCTTTCAAATCTTCCCCCCTACACCAATTTATCAGAATATCCTGATACTGTGAGTAGCGATGAAGCTCTACCATTTTGGTTGTCAATTTCCTTAGCTTTGTCTTAGCTTAACTCAGATGCTGAACAATGAAGCCATAGATTTATCACGACACCCCTAAAACCTAACCAAATCCCAGCGGTGCCTCCATTTTGTGTAGCGCCCCAGCTAGGTACCCAGTAGATAGGTGGTTACTTAAATGATCAAATAAAGCTGGGGGCCCTGGGTTACTCAGTAACTTCTAGATTTGGTTAAGGATAGGTGACTGGTAAATGTATCTGACCGCACTTTAAATTAACACTATACACTCAATGCGAACCCTATCACCATTATAGTACCAACAAACAACATCTGAGTATGCACAAGATAGAAAACATCCAACACTGTAGATTTTACTTTAAAATATTTGTATTGGCAAGGCCTGAACAAATAAAACAAAACAACAAAAAATGGGCCCACACACACTCTCTCACGCACAGCTCGCTCTAAGTAGAGTCTCTACTAGTTAAATGAACTAGTTCTCTACCCCTCTCGTTGCAGGCCTGATACGTGGCTCGGGTGCGTAGTGGCCGAGAAAAAAAATAATGCAACTGGCCTCTTCACTCCGAAGAGCAATACACAAAACAGAAGTTACCTCTGCGGGCTCTGTCTCTCTACCGCATCTCTCTCTCTCTCTCTTGCTCCCTCTTTCTGCAGCGGTGGAACGGAGCATCCGTAGTTTAGCAGCCAGACACACAGGGCAGTGATCTCCAACGTAGCCAGTGGAAACTGGGGCTTTGCCGGTCACCCCAGTCGCTAACTGGAAAGTCTGTAGGCTGATAGACTCGAGATGGCAACGACAATACACACACCACAGGGGAATTACGTTTACTGAGCTAGTTAACGTAAAAACACACGGAGTATAGAGCTAGGGTGCACTTTAGCAGCCTGAGTTAGCCTGCTGCAGCTTGACTTATGAACAATACAATGGGCGATACTTTGAGCAGCAGAGTTAGCTTATCGAGCTAAGCTCTTACTCTAAACATTCGACGAACTGCGTGCAAACTCCTACACGGGCTCTCTATTCGCCAACCCGGCGCTGGACTGTACTCACAGGACGTTCAGACAGTCGTTCATTCGAACAAAATAAACTTTAGGTCGCACATATAAGCTATGAGCGCAATTTAGTTCACTCCGTCTCCCTGCTCTCTTTTTTCCTCTCGTTTTCGTGTGTCTCTCCCTCGTTTTTTCTTTTTTCGTTCCCCCTACTGCTATTGTCCCGCCCACTGACCCTGCGGCTTGGCTGACAATACCCCATTAGATGTTATAGGCTCAGAAAAGGAAGAAGTAAGAGTTAGTTCAGAAACATACTTAATCAAATAACCAAACTTTTAGATACACGTGAATATATACATTTGAACTGATAATTCAATCAAAAAATAAAATAAACTGAACCGAAAGTTTCAACTGGGCTACATATACTTTTAGAGATCAACTAATGTGTTGTTATCATTAGAGAATGGAACAGTATGATGAGGTGGCTGCCCAACCATCGTTTCAGACCCCAGAAGGCGAGAGTTTATTAGGTGAGCAACAGAGACAGTAGTTGATTTGGATCCCTCTGCATAGTGTTTTTGGAGTCAGTTCTCCAAAGTCAAATAAAACCCCCTTTTTTACATAAACCTTTTATTTTTATACTTTTGCTTTTAGCCAGAAGACTCAAGAATGGATTTAGAAACTAAGGGTACAACACAAATTAGCAGCCAGAGAAAGACACCATCTTGCAGCATGTCAGACTCAAAACTGAACACAGGGTGCAGGGAGAGCTCTCCTTAAGTGCACCTCACACAGGTGGTGCTGATTGGCAGTGATTGCTTATGAGACTGCTCCCTGCCTCCATCTGGTCACAGCAACTGGTCTAGCAATAAGTAACTGACACTGTACACAGACTGATTTAAAAATGACAGACGTGTCTGCAGAGAAATCAGAACAGTCAGACTATCTATTCTACCAGAGACACTTTAGGTGTTTATCAGTGGAGTGACATGTAATAAATTTATACAGTATGTGGAGAAACGTTGCCTCCAAAACATTTACTACTACCCACTCTGATATAAGCTTTGATGTTGATGGAATATATGTAAAACCATTAGAAACTGTTTGTACTCTGTGAGATCTTTGATTCCAAATTTTCATTTATCAATCATATCAGCTTACTTATTAAGACTGCCTTCCATTTAATTTTCCGGAAGTCCGCCACAACTTCCTTTTTCCTCAAATCTGTTCACTAGGCTCCTGTACTCCATCTCCCTCCGCTCCTTAGAACACCCCACAATAACAGTGTCTCCTTAGAACTTTTGTAGGCACCATCTCAGCATCTCACATGAAATCAGGGATATGAAGAAAGGGAGCAAGAACAGTCTCCTGTGGAGCACTTGTACTGCTTACAGTCTTCTCTGACAGTAGCTGCACATACTGGGGCCTGCCAGTCAAGTAGTTGATCCAGTATACCAGGACAGTGTCCACCAGCGTTGCACTCAGCTTGTCCCTCAGCAGGAGGGGCACTGCGAGAGGACTTGACTCTCGCAGTGCTCCTTGCCATCTCCAGGAGTAAATTCTGTGCAACAGGTAGGGCACAGTATCTTTAACCCCCACTAGTGAGGGACAGACAAACTGCAAGGGGTCCAATGCTGTTCTTATATGTGTCCTAAGATAACCATAGACAAGCTTACTTGATCTTTGGTATTGAGATTGTACCAGTGCTGTGTGAGCACTCTACCACTACACCACTGAATTTGCAAACAGAGAGAGAACAAAGGACGCCAAGGGAAAACTAGCTTTCTCAGGAGAGACAACTAAGTAACTAAAATGCCAAATTACTTTCCCAACAAAACCAATACCAAAACTGAAGAGAAGAAAGAAAAAATCCTCCATGCTCTTTTTGCAACAGGCATTGTCGCAAGAAAAGTAACAGAGTCATGAGGCTCCCTGAGATGTCAGCGCCCCTCCACTCCACCGTCAGCAAACCCAGGGATGGGGGGAGTGGCTAAGTAGCGTGCTACTTTTTGTAGTTAGCTACAAATATTTGTAGCTAGTAGCTGTAGCGCCTACACGTTTTCGTGTAACTATAGCGATAATTTTTGCTACAATTTCACTACAGGCCTCAGGCGATCCGTGCAAAATCTGAACCACAGAGCGCGGTTCGTAACTGGGCTGGTGGCGATTGTGCAATCCTGACTGAGCCGCAGACGGCTCGAGCAAACGGGCACATGCTGCCCCCACGCGCTGATCACCCCTTACAGGCTCAGCTCAGGGGTCGCAACCGAAGCGTTTCAAATCCAGTTTTACCATCTTAGCTGTAAATAAGTCTCAGTGTGTGCTGATGTGCTAGAATAGGCTAAAAACATAATATAAACAAAAATGCAGACCCTGCTTTAAGCTTCAGGTCAGCTGAAGCTGCTTCTCTCGCTCCTCAGTCAGAAACTTTAAAATGTAAAATGTCTCTGAACTTTTGACTTTTTCCGAGACTGAAGTCAGATTCTCATTTACCAGCTTCTTGCTTGAATTGTCCTGTTCCACCTTAAATGGTGCATGAGACGCCAGAACGTACGTTACTGCTGTGCCATTTAAGGTGGAACGGGAGAATTCGAACAAGAAGCTGACTTCACGACTCAGTGTTTGACAGTTTCTCGTTGCAGATTAAACTCGTTGCATCCGGAAACCAGCTGGAGTGATTATAAATGCAAATAAGTCCATTCGTCTCCAAATCATTGATGTTTGTCTAAAATCTTGGGACAGAATATTATGCCTCATTTTTACTATGAAATTTGATTTGTTCTCAGTGAGCGCTGTGACTGAATTATGGCCAATCAAAATCTGCCAAGCTCCGCATTATTTTCTCAACCCTCCAATCTCCGCTTATTGATTGTTGCTGTCCACATTCACTTCAGTAATCAGCGCGTGTGATGTTTGTAACTAGCGTCAGGACTCCGAGCTCCTCAGAAGTTTCTCAGGGATTTATGAGATTCTAAAAGCGATGAAACGACACAACGAGCAGTGAGAGGTTCTCTGCTGACCTCAGCACAGCTGTGGCTCGACCATAGACTGAACCGCCCGCTCTGCGTTATATTGTGTTACTCATAACAGACTACAAACATGAGAAAGTTCACTGTTAACCAGCATATTGAAGGGTTAGTATCATGTAGTAACATTAAGAAATTAGCAGCTACGGAGGGATAAAGAAGGAACAAATGAAAGAAAAAGATGCGTAACAGTTATAGATGACTAAAAAAGGAGCAGTGATTGAATAAAAAACAAAAGGAGAAACTTAATGTTGCTGTAATTCTCATATTTGGTAGTTATTTTAATCACAATCAGATGTGAGTAACATTTCTGCAAAGTGGACCTCACAAAAATTCTGATCCTAGTTACGACCCTGTTAGCAGTCATACGTTAACTCCAGCGTTTGAGATCTTTTATTGTTAAACTGTATTAGAATGATCAGCAGAGCTGATTATGTTATTTTACCTAAAAATCTAGTCCTGCCGTGGAGCCGTAACAGGGCAGTAAACGAGCCGCATGTTGCTGCCTTAGCTAAAGTGGAAAAAACATTTTTGTAATAGAGTATTACTAATAGCACTCCGCAGAGTCAGGGTCACTGATAAAAATGTTGAGGCTGAAGTGTTGCTGGACTCTGAATGTCATGTCTGTACAGATCTTGTTTAAATATTTAAATTGGAGCAGTTTTATTTCAACAGTTGACAATGCTTTGCACAAAATTGTTTGGTTTGTATTGGTTGGTTTGTTATTTTTGTTAATTTTTGTTAGGAAAAACCTGGAATGATTGAGTTTGCCTTTACTATTTTTTTTGTTGGATGTTGGTTGTATAAGTTTGATTGTTGGTTACACTTAAACTCACTTTTTGGTGATCTTTTTGTACATTTGCAGCTTTTCAATTGTGAGTTTCTTTCTGGCTCATGATTAAATGCAGTGTCTTGTTCACACTGTCAGTTGGGCTTGTTTGGTGAGTCAGGTGGAGATTCACAAACATTCTGACAGTGGCGCTTTGAAAGTAGCTATAAAGTAGTGCTCTACTTTTCAAAAAGTAGCTAAAAAGTAGCCACTACATTTTCTGGGAAAGTAGCTAAATTGTAGCTAGCTACAAATTTTGGAGTAGCTATCCCAACCCTGAGCAAACCTGAGTGAACATGCGAGGCAGCGGGACGACAGCACCAATGCTCCCAGTTTACCATAATACTTTATGACCATGAACCCCAGATCTGCACCTTTTATCTAACAGGGAAAACTAATTACCAAAGGCTCCACTGAACAAGTGGGTTTTTATTAAACAAGTAGTTCATAGTATGAGAGAAGTTCACTCAGGTACTGAGGGGTGAGTCCATTTAGAGCTTTATAAGTCAGTAAAAAAGTTTTGTAATCTTTGCAAAATTTAACTTACACTTGTGTCCAGAGTTCTACAACTACCCACATTTACATGATATTTCTATGCCAGTCTAGAGTGATAAATGTGTGACTGGAGATTTATCAGCCCTTAACTACCCCTAGGGGGTAGGACCTTTAGTCCTCCATATGGACAATAGCTATGTGAGTACACGTAGTTAAACATGTAGTTAAAAAGACGTATCTTGTGGCTCGTAGAAGGCACAGCTTTGTCCACACAGGAGTTTATGTGGTCTGTTACACAATCCATTTCTTCAGCATGGTGTTCACAAATAATGTCCCAGTCAGTTGTTTCAAAGCAGCCCTTCAGGACATCCAAATCCTCGGCTGACCACTGCCCAACTGACTCACCACTGGTTGCCTCTGTACAAGTTGTTTATACAGAGATCTCAGATGCACCATGTTACAGTCAGAGTTTTCCAGTGAAGTAACTGCAGTAGAGCTGTATGGCTCCTTAACGTTGGCATATAGCAATTCCAGTATCCTATTTTTCTATTTTATGCTATGGACAAATGTGTTTGTAGTCTTTTTCTGTTGTAACCACTTGCTACGTTGGTTTGCTCTTCTTCTGCTTATATTATGCAGGACAAGAACTTTTCACACAAGATGGCCACCAGCTCTTTTTAAATGTTCTAATCTCGTTTTTCTGCTTTTTTCATGGTTTTTAAAGTAGTTAGCTAAACACACTCACACATTCACACACACACAAACACACACTCACACACACACACACACACACACACACACACACACACACACACACATCTTCTAAGCCGCTTATCCTTCTCACGGGGGGAGCTGGAGCCTATCCCAGCAGTCATTGGGTGGAAGGCAGGATACACCCTGGAGAGGTGACCAGTCCATCGCAGGGTAGTTAAACACATATCGTTCATATAAAGTGAATAGTGAAGTTTGCTGTTGTTGTATGTTGCAGTGTTCAGCAGCAACAGGTAAAGAACTAACTTGTTTGAAGTTATTGTTTAAAGCTATGCCTAGAAAGTTATGATGACTTACATTCAGATGTGCAACCAGGCATAAGCCCTGTTGGTGTGACCAGCCCCGGGTGATTACAGTCCAACATACTGTCTGTGTCAGAGTATGGAGTACATAAGTAACTGCATGAGCTAACATCTTCCCCAATAAAAAATAAAGACAAAAGAGAGATGTTTGTGTCTGGCAACTTCATATTAGCGAACACCTTAA